TGGTGACATTTGACTTATTCTCTTCAGGGCTTTTGGTAAGGTCTTTACATCAGATTCTGCTGTGTGGTCCAGTGTCACATACAAAATGCAGGAGTACATGGAGTCATGATCCCTGTTTTTTTTTTTTTTGGCTTTCTTTAGATGTTTTTTTTTTTTTTTTTTTTTTCTTTTTTTTCTTTTTGGAGCAGTCTTTCATAGCCCAGGTTGTCTGGAACTCTATGTTTTCAGAAATGCCCTTGGACTCCTGATCACCCTACCTCTGGGATTACATGGGTTAACCACCACACTCAGCTTTTTGTTTCTGTTTTGAGACAGGGTTTCATAGAGCTCAGGCTGGCCTGGCCTCGAACTTCTGATTGCCTACTTTCACCTCCAAACTGCTACGATTATAGGAGTTGAGGCACCATGGCTAGTTCAGGTTGTCTTAATTCCAATCACAACCTTTACAAAATTGTTGAGAAGTGTCTTGGTGTGCTTGCAGTATCTTCTCTGCACCTGTTATTTCCCTTCTTCCTGAGAGCTGGTGGCTTCATGCTGTCATTTTTTTTTCCTCCAGATTGCAAGCCATCTAATAAAACTACTCACACCAGGGGTCAGAAGTTTAATTTTCTCCCTCCCAGACGTTCCTGAATATAACGAAGTAGAAAGAGAGCCTAGTTCTAGAATCCAGATGATTTAATTTCAGTCATGGCTGTACTTGCTGCTATGAGACTTGGGCGAAATAAGAATGAAAATATAAGATCAGTCTCATAGGATTAATGTAAAAATTAAATGAGATTATCAAAATGCTTATAGTCACAAAAGTGTTTTTATTCTTTTGTTAAAATAATTATTTTTATTATATGTGCATCAGTGTATTGCCTGCATGTAAAAGTGCACCTGTGTTGTGCAATGCCCACAGACGTCAGAAGAGGGTGTCGGATCCCCCTGGAACTGGAGTTGCAGATGGCTGTTAGCTGCCATGTAGGTGCTGAGAACCAAACCCAGGTCCTCTATAAGAGCAGCCAGTGCTCTTAACCGCTGAGCCATCTCTCCAGCCCCATACGTCTTAATCTTTTTTAAAAGGGTTTTAAATACTAGGAACTTAAATGAGCTAGCTTGAGTAGGAAAGCTGGGTTTATTTTGATTCATCAAGTCTCAAGGAGTTCTCTTTCCCGATGCATGGGAGATCCTTCTAGAGTTCCTCAATACCTGGTTCTTCTTTCTCATGTGAAGTAAGATTTCCTAGCCTTTTTTGCATGAACGAATTCTGAAGTGAAGTCTGGAAACTGGTTGTTTAGCCCTCTGACCTCGTGGCTCATGGCTGTCAGCTATGGTTGACTGTCACCAAGAGATCTCGAGATAGTTTTATACTCTGTATTGCTAACCAAGGAAAAGATCAAAATTGGACATTTGAGGTGCACTTCCCCTGAATGCGTGTCCCTTTTGCACCACTGTAATGTTGAACTACCATGATCTGGCAAGGGTCTGTGAAGGAAGATGGAGATCAACCCTTTACTTCTTATATAGCCTAAAGAATGAATCTCTAAGGATTCCCTCACCAGGGAATGATTTGCTTTGAAGGTTGCATAGACTGACTTTTCCAACTGCCATCAAGTCTTATTGTTTCAATGTAACCTTATTTTTCCTGGGGTGTTGAGAAGCACTGGGCTGGGTACCATGACTGAGCCATTCCTTGACTACCCCAATAATTCTTGCATTAGATAAGTTACATTATGTGTGGGTGCTTGATGGTGATGCAGGAAGTCCACAGTGGTCCCTGGGGATGATGCCAAGATGTGTGACTGACAAAAATAGGAGCCAGATTCTCTCCAAAGCGTGGTTCTTTGTACGTGTTTTCCCTTCTGCCTGAAATAGCCCTTTCCCCTCAATGATAAATAATCCTGATTTCAGGGTTTGGCTCCATCACGTCTTCTAGAAATGACCACTGCACTCAGGGTTAGCTCTTCCTGCTGTATTCTAACACCTAAAAATGTGCTTCCTTTTAAAAAGTAAGGTGAGGAAGAGCTTATCTTCTTTAAGGGAGGGATTCGAGAAAGGCTGACTAGACCCCAGTGGACAAACTTAAATGGAGGGATGTCAGGGGACACTAACCTGTCTTAACATAAATGACAGAATGCATGAAATCCGGTGGGGGGAAGGCTGTGGAAGGGTGCCAGTGGGGAAGGAGCTATAAAGATGATTAAAATGTTGTGTATGAAATACACAAAAATTCAATAAAAGAGTTCCATTTCCTCCTTAAATTGCAAAGGTCAAAACATGTTCAAAATGTGTCCTGTGGTTTCAGTATGGTTTGAACATGTTCCCTAAGGGTTTGTGGGCTTGGATCCCAATGTGGCAATGTAGAGAGGTGGTGTGTTCCTTAAGAGGGAACCCCTTTCTTTGACTTTCTGTCTTGTCATGTGATCTCACCTTCCTTCTACTACCACCATGATGACGTCTGCCTAGAGGTCCTCACCAGGGTTGAGTTAATCTTATTGCCATGCTCTTGAATTTCCAGAACTGTGTGCCTTTTTTCCTTGTAGTTACTTAGCCTCAGGTATTTTGTTATAGTAATAGAAAACTAGCTAATACAATGCTACAAACTTTGGAAAATTCAACTATGCAAAAAAAAAAAAAAAACCTTCCATTGTTTCATGTATTTTCACACACACACACACACACACACATACACACGCACATTTAGGTTCCCAAATTTTGATTTTGTACTTGCTTTTCCTTCTTAATTTCATGTCACAAAGGATTTTCTATTCATCTACAGTACACTTTAAAAATTAAATATGTAATAGCTTGTGGATATTCCATAACTCATATAAACACATTCTTGTTCTGATTGTTTCTAAATTTTCATTAATGAATCTGAGATGAACAGTCTTGCATATAAATCTTTGCCTACATTTCTGATTTTTTTTTTTTTTTTTTTTTTTTTTGGTCTTTTTGAGACAGGGTCTCCCTGTAGCTCCAGCTCTCCTGGAACTCACTATGTAGACCAGGCTGGCCTTGAACTCAAAGATCTGCCTGCCTCTGCCTCCCAAGTACTGGGATTAAAAGTGTGCACCACCACGCCCGGCTCATTTCTGATTATTTAAGATAAACTTTTAGAAGTAAAATTGTGGGCTGGAGAGATGGCTCAGCGGTTAACAGCACTAACTGCTCTTGCAGAGAACTGTCTGTAACTCCAGTTCCAGGGAATCTGATGCCTTTCTTCTGACCTCCATAAGCATTGCATGACACCAGTGTACTTCCACGCATGCAGGCAATATACTCATACACATAAAATAAAAATAATAAATAAGATTAAAACGGCCGGGCGTGATGGCACACGCCTTTAATCCCAGCACTTGGGAGGCAGAGGGAGGCAGATCTCTGTGAGTTCGAGGCCAACCTGGTCTCCATAGCAAGTCTGGGCCAGTTGGGGCTACAGGGAGACCCTGTCTCAAAAAAAAAAAAAAAAAAAAAAGGGAGGGGGGGACAACAACTGGCAACTGGAGGGGG